AAAATGAAGTTCCACTGCTGCCACGAAGATCTCCGCTGCTTTATCCTCTTGGTGACCCTGGAAATGTTGACTGACTGAAATGAGGAGAACTGAGACTCAGGACAGCACCGCAGGGAAAAGCACAGAAGTACAGACCACAAGTCTGCTCCACTGAAACCTCACATACTAAAGTCAGCGTCTAGAGCTCCTAGGCAGCTCGATGCTGCAAGATCCTGATCACTTGATCTTGGAGAGAGACAGCAGAGCAGGCATAAAATGTGCTCCACTAAAGCATCATACTCTATTATCAATGTCCAGAGCTTCTAGGCCAGAGCTGAAGGACATTGATCAGTGGATTAATGTATTGGGGAGCAGAGATAGGCAGAGCATGACAGAAAGTCGGCTCCACTAAAGCTTCAGACCACTGTCAGTTTTCTCAGCTTTCAGGAGCAAAGTCTGCTCCACTAAAGAATCATACTCTGTTATCAATATCAAGAGCTCCTAGGCAGGACACTCATCAGTAGTTGAAGGTTCAGGGGGTCAGTGCCAAGTAGAGAGGCAGAGTAAGCTCAGCATTAGCAGCTAGGGTCTTTCTGCTCCCATCACCATGTCAGAGTTCCCAAATTACAACTACTGGGTGGGCAGCACATAAAGAGCAGGCTGAGGTTACCCATCTCCACAGCAGAAGAGTCAACAGCCACTCTTAAAGCACACTTTGAAGATCGTTTACAAGAGAATGGGGCATTCTGATGTCAAATAATGAATTTTAGAAAGTATAGTCCATGAACAAACATATATCTGTGTATATAGAAAAGGTTCCAAGAATTACATGGACGAGCTTTTACATAACACGCCTGGAAAATGCACAAACAACAACACACATTGGTTTACATACTTGGTCTCCCACAGCAGTGTTATGAAGTCATATAGTAACCACATGGTCAAAGTAGCAAAAAGGTACGTGTGTGATATACACAGTGGAACATCGAACAACAACCCCCATCATATTGTCTTAGTTCCCGTTCACACTAGATGTGGTGACTGGCATTTTTCGGCTATGTGCAGGTGACAACGAAGTTGATTTAAAAGAACATGTTGACAACATGCACATTCCAAATAGATAACTTAAGAGCAGAAAGAAACCTTAGCGTAGCAGTGTACAGACATCTGCACTACATTGCAGCGCTCCTTGCCATGCAGAGCTCCCTTATGAAGCATTGATCTAGTGGGGAGCCAAGAACACAGGGTTAAGTTGCTGATTCAGCACAACGTGAGTATTAGTATGCAAGCAGCAGCCTGTCCACAGCACGTTGTTAGTGGGATGAACAATTTGCTGTATAACTATTTTGTGTCGAGTGCCATCCATTTCAAATATGCAGATTGGTATCTCTCCCCACAAGCAATGTTTTATTTAACAGGCCGTCTCCACTTTGTTTTGTAGAAGGCTGAAGCCTACCATTTCACTGGCTCCAATTTTATTTTAGAATGTATTTTTCTATTTTTTTATTTCCATGGGCTCAGATGAGGTGGGGGAAGTACTTTATACAAACATGAAAAGCAATTTCTGAATATTTGCTTAATGAAAAGAGCATTGTTGAAGCTATGCAGCCCTAAGCGTGCCCAGCTCACCAAGATGCTACCCGTTTTCATTGACCTAATGCAGATTTATGTGGCTGCACGGAAAGGAGATAAAATATTCAAGGGAACGACAACTGCAATTTTCTTATATTTATGTTCATCTTTTAAATAGAAAAAATATTATTTATCTTAACCAACAAGGCAGATGAGATTTTACAATAAAAATGTCCATATTAAATTTAAAGGAAAGTTCCATTTTCTACTTCAAAACGTCATCTAGAGTTTGTGTCATTGCCATCTACTGTCTGAACGATGATGACCTTCTCACCACTAAGCAGAAGTTCTAGTATAACAGGTTACCAGCAGTGTTTGATTAGCACAATGACAAGTACCTTTATTTCAGTGGAAGAAGTTTTTTGGGGGGAAATGGAAAACCCCTTTAGGTTGCAAAACCCTTCAATATGAAAATTGAACTTTACACTGAGTACTTGAAGACTGTACCAATAAAATCAATCCAGCAGAGCTCTCAGCCCTAGAACCATGAGTGTAATGATCACCCTATCCTAGAAGCCTTGGGATGTACAATAAAAATAATGGAGAAAAAAAACGCCAAAAAAAACAAGCTAAAAAACGAGCATAAAAAAAACGCTCAGGTGTGAACCCAGCCTAAGACAGCGATCTGGGTACAGCTCCAACTTACTTTATTACTGCTGAGCTCTGCATTAAAATAAGCACCGATTCATTAAAAATAGCAAAAATCACACATGATGCCGAGATATAGTTACAAGCGGTAGCAGACCTGCATCTGAGTGTACTGCTAATTTTTAATCAAAACTGGATTAAATTTAAACCAGTAGCATGCTATTCTAATAACAGCTAGAATGCTAAGGTCTTAATAGGTAACCAAGAAGGGTTATGTACACATTATCTGCTCTAATGGAGCCAGATAAGTTGCTGACTGGTGAATTGGAATGAGGTGTATGGGGTCTATACCAACTTACCTGATATAAGTTTAAAAAAAATAAATCAAACAGTATTTACCCTAAAGGCCATGTCTTCTGTTGGTGGCACATCGCCAGCAGCAAAATCACTGAGAGAGGCTTTAAAGTGAGACTAAACTCAGAAGTTAAATCTCAAAAATGCATTCAAGTACCCTAAGTATTAATAAAAATGTATCTTATTTGTGTATCACTGGGCTGTAGATCCTCAAATCATCTCTGATTTGGCGCTGACATTGTCCTTTCTTCTGGAGGGGGGCTACTTTTGTTCCCCATGGTCCCCGTTTGTGTTGTAAAGAAGTCACTGCTCCAAGCTCACTCCTGTGATGGACTACAATCTCAATACAAATTAGTAAACTGAGATTGTAGTCCATCACAGGGCGAGCTTGGAGCGGTGACCACTTTACAACACACTCAGGGACCATGGGCAACAAAAATCGCCCCCCTCCAGAAGGAAGGACAGTGTCAGCGCCAATTCAGAGATGATTTGAGGATCTGCAGCCGAGTGATACACATTTATTATTAGTTAAGGTACTTGAATGTATTTTTAAGATTTGACCCCTGAGTTTAGGTTCACTTTAAGGTCTTCATGGCCTTTAATGTGGTTAAATCTCACTTCCAAGCAAGAAAGCGTCATCTTGTTGACCTGGCTAGCAAAGGAGCGACTCCATAGTAAAATGTAAGTGCTCTGTTATTAACTCGGTTCCTAAAGAGTTGTCACCAGTGACCAGATTGTTCATGTGACATCAGCTACTTCCAGGCCTATTTTTAGACAAAATAATAGTAACGGTTAGCATCAGAAGAAAAAAAAGAATGTAGGTGTGTTGCCACAAAGGTGGGAGGCTGTTCACATTATTCACAGCTCAGTGTCTTCTCCCACAGGTGAACGATAGCAGCCAATACTGCTTGATATCACCTAATGTGTGTGATATATGTTACTATAAGTTTCAGCTTCACAAACTCAGTGAGGCTTCATTGGTGAACATCCACCCTGCTTTTCACATGGCATTTTCCAGTTTTCTGTGTAGTTCGCTCTTTGCCAGTATAATCCCAACCATGGAACAAGCCCAGTGAGGGCAGTAAGCTGCTCGGGCAAAGTGTCAGCTGCAGTTTTGCTTCAAATGACTGCAGTAAGAGGGTTATCCTGGCATTAGAAAGAAGCTGTTATGTTCCCTTTCAGCGAGGAAACAGGCTCTAGGCGACCAGGAATGTAAGAAAGAGCAGATTTCGCGATTGTTACATGCTGGCACACATACATTTGTTTGCTCCCAAATAAACAGCTAAGTCGACCTGCGTAAAATAAAAACATGTTACCAGCTAAGCAGAATAGATTCTCTAGTTCGTTTACCAATCAGAACAAAGAGATTCTGTGTCAGAGAACCATTACAGCTAACAATGGAGTCCTCTTCAGACCTAAAGTTTCTAAGGGAACTGTATCTGGTAAACAGAAGGAAGAATTTGATTGGTTGTCGGAAATCAAGCACAGTTTTTCTTCTGCAAGGTCATAAAGCAGAACTCCATCCAAAATAAATATTGCCCACAGGGCAGGCGCTACCTTTCATGGTATCCAACCTTCTATGGCGAAGACATATAACCAGGCTGCAATGCTGTGTGCCCCAACCAACCATACAATATATCCATTTTTTGTACCGTGAGGCCTGATTTGATTCCCTACTAGGAACTTCATAGAAATCCCTTCTGCTGTGTGCACTGCAGACACAGGCTTGCTGCGTCACTGCTTACGTTAAATTAGGTATATGTTTATATACAATAGAAGATAAGTTCAAATGGAACATCTATCCATTTTCTATGGAACCCTACTTAAAGGCGAACTGAACTTTTGGTTGAAAATCATTAAATATTTTCGGGTGCATCAAAACAGAAAAAAGTGCAAAGTCTTACAGTTTGTATTCTTTAGTATGTAGTCACAGCCTGAGTAGAAAAGCCTGTCCCCTGTCAGCATGCTGTAGAGAAGTACCCTTTCACTCTGCTTGGAGGCAGTTGTATTTCTGCAGAGCTCTGACCATGCTCTAGAAAACAGAGACCCCTGCTGGAATTGTACACTCCCACCATGCAGACTTTTTTTGTCCCTTGGGGTCTCTAGAAAACAGAGACCCCTGCTGGAATTGTACACTCCCACATTGCAGGTTAAATCATTTTTCTGCATTCACCACAATACATGTTGGGTACATTGCAATATATTCTGCTTTCATACATCATGTTTATAGCAGAAAACCATTTCTACACATAACAAACGAGAGGGAAAAAAATATATAAAATGCCATTACACAAACAACAGTGAGTCACACCATTAGTTTCTAGACTAGTCTACAGGATATGTATCAACCAGCTGCTGATGCAATGTTAGTAAGGTGGACGTTAAAAGGGACTGATCCTAAAGCAATGGGATGCCACCACACAGCACCACACAAGTGCAGGTTTTACCAGAGGGGAGTGTGTGGGAGTAGACAGATTCTCATCTGCATCTTCTTCAATAATGTCCTAAGCAACATAACAATGTGTACAGTCTGAAAAAGGTCCCCGGCAAATACACAGTATTGTGATGAGAAGGCTAAAGAATTTCTGAGACAAGCCCCCCCCCGATGTTAAGGTGCAACAAAGAATATAAACAATACAATACCTACACATTTACTACAGTTAACATACTACAATAACATTCAGATACAATTGTTGTAAACCCAAAGCCTACCATGCCACCAACGAAGGGGTTTTTGGTTATTTTGTTAAGGGAATACTGCAATGCATACTTGCATATGTAGTATAACCATATTTTACATCCTAACCAGCTTCCTGGCAACTTATTTCCTTGGAGCAGCTTTTGTAAATATTTAAATCAATTTGAGATCGCCTGAAAAATGTAAAATATCTACTTTGTTTTTTTTTTTGAAAGTGCATATGTCACACAAAATCGTGCCGGCTGAGCCTTCTCGCCATGTCCCTGGCAGAATTATATGCAAATCAGGCTTTGTCAGGTGACCTGTAACACCTATTTGCCATCCTCTTATAATCCAACACACTGTGCTTACAACAATGGTTGTAGTGCTGGAATAGGGCTGAGTAGTGCTGGAATAGGGAGAGGCAATTAAAAGTGGTTAATTTTGCACACTATAGCACTTCACTTTGCACTAAGCAACATTAAAAATTGTTGCTTTTGAATTGGAGAAATCAATACATCTTTGTGCAAGTATTTGTTCCCAATGTGGCGTATAACTGTGCTGATCCTGTTCAGGGCCCACAAAGCAATTCTGGCATTTGCAGACAAGCTTCAGACATGTAGCTCCTCTGTATGCTTCTTAAGTGTGAAACCAGCATTTTTGTGCCCTGCCCGACTATACAAATTAAAGTCTTGATTTGAGCACTTCCAGGTCCCGTCTCCTCCAGGTCTATCAATCCCCCTAGTTCCACTAGGTGCTGGCCTCATAGGAGGTTCTAGGAAAAGAACCTTCAATACCGAGCCAGAGGATGACATGAGCCCACCTCCCCTGGAGGCAACCAGATTGGGAATATAAACCAATTTACGGCATGTGAGGAATAACATTTAGAAAGTACACTTAACATGCTCTACTGAATAGATATGTGACTTTTTCTTTTATATGGCTGCCTCCTCAGTCTGTAAATAATGGGTAAAAAATAATGGTAGAATGTGCCCCAGATATACTGTATAAAGGAGAGGACAGAGAGAAGAAGGATTACCATACTTAATGTAGCTAAACCCAGCCTTTCAGTCCAAAGACAGAGATGTGAGAATAGTTAGTAACAGCACACTGCCTATAATTACCAGTCAAGGTTAACTACTTCTGGTTAGTGTCATGTGAACCTCCTCCACATCTTAATACTTACTAGGCCATTGGTTTGATCTCTGGACAAACTGTGTTTGAAAGATGGACGTGACATGGGATGTTGGGGGTGGCCAAAGTAATACTTTGGCAGGTAAACATGAGGTGCAAAGAACGGCTATGGAAAAGAAAAACAAAACATGCAGGAATAAAAAAACCAAAAAAGGACATAACTTAAAACATGGAATAAAAGAAAATGATAACAAATGAAGCTTAAATGTGAACAGAAATCACTGAAAATGTGGCATTATAAAGTAACTCTCACCATGGGTTACTTCAAGGTCTGGGATTAAAACATTGGGGTGATCTCATCCTAACAGCATATACAATTTAAGTTTCTACAGTGGTTTTTTTTTTTTTTTTTACTCTAAACAGAGCCCCCCTGGGATAATGTGATTTCATCTCCACCTTTTGCACACCCTGTTTTTCTATGACGATGCCATATTTTACACCTAAAGTAAAGTCCATGGTCTTGTTGTAATAAAACTGGATGACAAGCTGTGGAAGCATTGACCACAGCAACCAGATACTATCATTCCCTAACCTGGTGGATAGGTAACATCTGATTGGTTCCTGTGAGTTCCAACAATCCCACTTTATATAAGACAAAAACTGAAAACTGCACATGTATCTAAAAATATCCATATGCCTAGAACTGTCATGATCTATTTACCCAGTTCTAACAGCTTACTGTTGTGGGTCTCCAATACAATGTGAGAATAAAAAGTCTGACACCAAGAATAGAAACAACAGGAACTACACCTTACTTAATGGGACTGAGCTCCTGTTATCATACAGACCAGTTTTCTGAAAAGAGTACAGTGGAGGGCACACTTACCCTGTTATAGAAAGGATGTTGTGGACCAGTCATACCACTATAGTAGCTACTGGGGGGCTGTGGGGAAACAACACCACCAGGGAAGGGACCATTAAATGAAGAAGAGGAGCAGACAGAGGATGGCTGACTGAATACAGAGGCTGCTCTTGGTGGGGCATCCTGCAGGGGTAACGTAGGATAGGGGAAGCCTCCGATGTTCATCTGATCTCTGGCTGCACGCACATCTGAAATGGAAGCATCACACATGACAATTAACTTGGAACAGCGCAAGCTGGGTGCAGACCAGGAGAAACAGTTCATGGCATTCACCCATCATACACAAATGTCTCACTAACGTTAAACAATCCTAAGCTGTCAAAGTGCAAACAAGTTAAAGTTCAATTTTATACAAAGTACAGTACTAACTTCCCATCATGTGTCAACAACACTGCCTCTGCTGCACAGAAATCCTAAGCATTGTCAACAACTCTGCCCCTGGCTATATCTCAAACCTTGTCTCAAAGTATCACCCTAACCGCCCCCTCCGCTCTTCCAAGTCCCTCGTCAACTCCTCCCATCCTCGCCTCCAGGACGTCTCTAGGACCTCTCCCATCCTGTGGAACTCTTTACCCCAACCTGTCTGTCCATCTCCCACTCTGACTGACTTTAGGGGATCGCTTGTGACTCATCTCTTGAGGGAAGCCTATCCCACCTCAACCTAACCACTCAACTATCACGTTCTCATACAATTCATCCCCACGCAGCTACCTCCTCATGTATCACTTGCCCCTCCCTTTTAGATTGAGGGCCCTCATTACCATCTTGTCTTGAATTGTATTGTGATTGTAATGTCTTCCTTATATTGTAAAGCGCTGCGCAAACTGTTGGCGCTATATAAATCCTGTATAATAATAATAATAGTCAGCCCTGCATACATTCAGCCCTAGTGGACCACAGAACTCCACCTACCTACCCCTATCTACATTAATAAATTGATTTAATTTCCAGCAAAGCCCCGTCACTGGGTGAAATGAAAGGTCTCTTAGAAGATGTAGTTCTGGGTGGCATGCCTGCATCAATTGGCACTGACTTAGGGTACCCATGTTGATTCCTTCTCTCAGTAGCTGCCCCTACAAGCATTTTACAATTCTGTTGACATCACAGGGAGTAATAAAAGCTACTTCGCACTACAAGCTCTAGAAGGGGAGGCTAGGGGTAAATTTGGGCTATGCCTAAAGAACAGCTTAAAACCCAGGTATTTTTGTTTTAACCTGGCCCAACAGTGGGATTCCCATCTTGTGGACTAAGGCAGATTTGGCCTCTCAGAAAACACATCCCTCCCTCTGATTTGTGATATCATTTATAGATCAAGTGACAAACAAATTACAGTTTTCTGCTTACCAACAAGTCTATGGCTTCTAATGCGATAATGGCAGCTTACTGCTGATTGCTCAGGTCAGAAGTCATGAGTCATGTGTTTTTGTATTTAAACAAAAAAGGCCCAATGGTCCGTTTCACACAACAATCACAGACCACATAACATTCACAGAGCTTCCCTAAGATAAATGTATTTTCTCCATTGAGTTCTCACTTACCTGCAATGATCTCCCGAAGTTTTGGATCCAAATTTACTGTGCAAGGTAAAAAGGTTTTGACATCTCGGGATACAAGAACAGGCGTCCTAGATGAAAGGAACACTTCAAAATTTCTTATGTCGCCATCGATTTCCAGAAGTGGTTCTACATCCTTTGTTGTTGGGATATTTTTAGAAATTCTAAAGAGGAGAAAAAGAAAATGTAAGTTATACTGATGCTGGTATGAAAACAAAACCCTTCATAACGAAAATCAACATTAAAAATTGGAGGCCTGTAAGTGAAGGCCTCACTCGCAGGGTTTATAAGGCACTTCATGGCCACTTCTGACCCAGAACATGGTGGAGAGACCTAATCTAGCCTTCTGGGTCTCATTAGCTAGTTCTTAACAGCGTGTGAAGCACTGCAAAGTGACTTCATGAGAGTTCCAAGTACAATTAGGTAGACTTCAGCAAATGCTTTCTGGGAAATCTTGAAAATAATCCCTTAAAAAGCAAAAAGACATTGCGAGTAATTGAATTTTAACATAACGAGCCGATAGGTAAATGCCTCCAAAAGTGGCTCATCAGTATACATACATTTCCCAACTCATGGAAGGTACTCCTGCATATTCCAAACTTATCAGCCTATGTTAAACACCATGTTTAAAATCCATAAGTGACAGCTGATCGAATTTGAGTTTCCTAAAGGTTTACTAGAAAGTACTAGAAAGCTTTGTACATGGCACTTTTTTCATACTGCGTATACTGCCATGTAACATTGACACTACAAGCTAGATATCCTTTCAGTAAAACAAAACAAAAAAGCACAAGATAGGTATAAGCAAAAGGAAGCTCATCTCAGAACACACACTTTATTTTTATTTTTTAAGTAAAATATGGTAAGATCGCCAACACATAGACAGTGATGGTCCAATAACTAGCAGTAACATGGAGAAAAGAAATACATGGAAGCCACTGGGCATGGGTTTCTCAGTGCTATATAAAGACATATGAATGACGAAAGTAATAGTATGTTGTGCAACAACAGATGATGCTGATGAGACGATGATGATTTCTATAAACGAAAACGTTCAGCAGAAGATGTACATCCGATTTGACATACCCCTAATCATCCTCAATTGACTTGAATGCCAGTGAGTGGGAATGATATACGCAGAGAACAGGTCGCTGGAAAACATGAGTGAGGTATCATCAATGACTGTAGGGACTGTCTACAGTCCGCATGTGACCCTTCTCAAGCGAATGCCTAGGTTGCGGAAGCCACCTTATTAACAAAACATGGACAGAGAAACCACAATTGAGAATGATCATATGGTCATTAATGGTAAACAAAAGGCGGTCCCAACAGGATGTAAAAGTTTGTAGAGGAGCCAATACTGGAGTGATCATAACCTTACATGAGGTTTATAATAATTCAGCTACACAAAATAAGAGGGGAGGAAAGGAGAAGGTTTAAGCAATCGTTTAAACCAGAACTCAGAAAACACTTTCAAAAACAGAGATGTCATCAAGAAATGTAACCAAACATTTAGAGAGTCTTTAGAGAAAGTAATTAGATACTAGTGAATCGGAAGCTTAATTCTTTCTGATTTGGCATTCGCTTTTTTAATGGACTAGCAAAATTGTGCCCATTCCAGAATGGCAATGTTGGGGATATTACATACATTGTTAAAGAGTAGCAGAGGGTAAGACGGCAAGCAGTATGTGCAGCATTGATGTTCAGATACCAAGTACCGTACTCGGTACAAGTACAGATACTTTTCCAGACTAGACTAGAGAAAAATTCAAAAGTTAGGAGGCAGCTGGAGGCATTTGTAAGGCATTTGTAAGGATCATACGGAGCTCCTGGGATTTGTGCATTCCTGTTTTAATGTATGATTTTTTTTTGATAAATATATAAAAGGGATGCACCGATACCATTGTTTCAAGTACAAGCACCGATACTTGTCCAAGTACTCACAGATACAAGTACCGATACATTGTAGTTCATTGTTATGCGACAGTTTTTCTAAAACAATACAGACTAATGATTTCAGGACAGTGGTGGAGAGCCAGAGTCAGGTCCCAGCTGCAACCCCGGTAGTTCTCATGATAATCCCAAGTATCGGCACTGGTATCTGAACATCCCTAATGTGCAGGAGAGGAGCTTGAAGGGAATGATGGTAGGCGGTATGTGCAGGACAGCACAGCTCATCTCTATGGGTGTTGGGAAGTATAGTAGAACAGGCGCTGTGCAGTGTATGGTGTGGGCTAGAAGCAGTGATAGGTGGCATGCATATGTATCTGAATCTTTCATTGTACAAGGTTGGATGGCCAAGGTGACTTATTTGTCCTTCTCCCAGGTCATCTGCAACTGCTCACAGAAAGGGGCCCAATATGTAGCCCAACAAACGTATGTCAGGTTAGTGTGCGCAGAGAGACACATCCATGGGCACCACCTCCCCTGCCTTAAATTCAGATGCAGTCTCTGTTTAGCCAACAATTTTCCACAGCTCAAATTTTGGCCTATTCTTCGAGCTGTGGGTGGACTTGTTGGCACCATGCAGCTCAACAAAGTTCAACTGAGAAATCAATGGAGCTGGGTGATGCCGACAGAGCCACATATGGCTTGACTATCAGCCGATTTACAGAAATAGGCCAAAATACGAACTGTGTAGGGATACCTTATGGATGGATCTAGAGACATATGCTGCACAGGGGCAAGCTCTAGTGGCAGCTATAGAACTGTGAAGAGAATTAAGTACCTTCAACAAGTAAGAAATTACACATGAATTTCAGTTTCAAAGGGGCGAGCCATAATCTATAGGTAAAGCATAAATCCCACATAATGCAACAAGATTCATCTAAACATAGTTTTCATTGATATACAACATGCAAACAGATGCACAAATCAGCACAAATCCAGCATTGTTTACAGTGTACAGATTGAAAATAACGAAACCAACAGTTTCTGAAATCTGCAATATCAAAGTGTAAAAACCAGTAACTGTAGAAATGAAAAAAGAATACTCCTCGAGTTTATGAGCAATAAACTGCAGTTTATGACTCAACCAGTAAATTCAACTTTAACTACCAAGCAATAACACATCCACCAAAGGGAGCAAAAATATATTGCTGAAAAAAAAAATGTGCAAACCAAGCAGTCCACTTGTGCTGATTCTACCCAATTCACATTGTTATAGCACTGGGGTCAATTAATATAGTTTGGAAAAAACTGTCTATTAAGAAGTAACTTCAAAAGGAGCAGTAAAAAAAAAAAGGATTTCTGATTCCAGGATGTATTGCTACTTTGCAGCATAGCCGACGTTCCTGTATATACAATTATTGCTTTTTTATAAATATTTTGATATATGATATTTCAACTGGGATACGCACATATCACTAAGGCAGTCATTTTTTCATTTCTACAGTTTCTGGTTTTTACACTTTGATATTGCAGATTTCTGATGTTCGAGAAATCCCCTCTTGTTTCTATTTTATTCAGACAGTGATTGTCAGCTGCAGTCAGAATACCCAAATTGAGTTATCAGCTAATTGGCTGCTAGCTCTATCCGGCCGAGAATTGTCCATCAGGTTCCTTCGATCAGCTGATCGGAGGATGCCTGGCGTAAGGGTGCCGACAGTGACACCAATTGTGCAGATTTCGCCCAGTTCAGTGGACGAAATTTGTCCCGTGTACACCCTTTTTAAGGCTCCATTGACACCTTGGAGTTTTGTAGATTCTTTCCCCAAGTATGACAACACTCAAGTATTAGGAAACCCATTGTTTCCAATAACCCCTGTACACAAATGAGCATTGCATTGTTTATTATCAGTTGTGTGAAGCTCAAAAGAAAAATACATGAGCTTCTTTTGGGGCAGAATTGTGCATTTGGGCCTCACAGACTTCAACAGGCATGCCTGGAAAACACTTGAAAATGTGTGTTTAAAAGAGAACTAAAAGGGGTCAACTTTTTATCTCATAGTTCTCTAAAGGGTCACGGGAGGACATATACTAACCTCCTCCCGTGACCCAAAGCTCAATATATAAAAGAGCTACATGTGTTTTTCAGGCACTCCCATTTAAAAGTCTATGGGGCCAAAAATGCATGATTCTGCTTCTGATCTATAACTCGTGCATTAAACCTTTTGAAATAATTATGTATAAATGTGCAAATAATGCCTCTAAATCGCCGGGCTACGCTCACACTTAGGTGTGAATACCCAAAGCCCAACTTAAATCTGTAACTTTCAGGTAAGAATGCCTGGTGAGTTTGTTATAAAGGTTCTTGTTTGGGTACTTTCTGTTATAAGGTGACAACGCTCTATCCCTGACACCCAACTGTACTACTGCATTGGCACATGACTTCACATTGATTCAGCAAACGAAATGTCATTTAGTTCACGATTACATTGTCATTAAGTCTTGGACAGTGCGATAGGTATAGATCCTTTGTTTGGGTTTTATTGCATTCTGCTGTGACCTCATTGGCGAGATTTCCCCTCATTTCCTGCAGGGACCTTTTTTCAGTATAAATAGGAAAGGTCTGAATTGGTCAGGTAATTATCACTGTCTGTGCCTTCCTGTTACATTGACAACAGATCCCCTCATTTCTTATCCTGCCTTCATAGGCACACAACATTAGATGTAATATCCCTAACAGAACTACAATATACATCTAACAGAGATTTTAACGCTCCCACAGTCGATCCAAAACGGAAAAAAAATATTTACAGGTTTTGGGCTTTAACTACCCTGGATAAACCGCTGCTTCAAGCTTAAACAACAGCCAGTCTTCCAACCCACAAAGCCATGGTACCTTGGGGTGCCTCCTGGATTTGTCATGCATTTCCATGGTGCATGTGAGCATGACGCTAATCCAAGACCTCCGGGAACTCCATCCAGACCTGCTCCACGTCCCACCCTCTGCCATTCTTCTGCAGCCGAACTGTTGTGAGGACTATAGGGTAGGACTGTGACATAAAGGAGGACATGAAGGTGGACTGGGGACGCTGATGTGAATTTAGGCTCCTAAAAGGAAAGGGGGCTTCTGATGTAAAAGGGAGGTAATGCATGTTTTTTTTCTGTGGGGTCTTCCTTTATAATCTATACCAGCCCCCAATCTGGAATAAGGGTCCTGTATAGATATTGGGAGAACCATATGTCATTTTTCACATTTGTGCTTTTTTACATTTTAGAC